ACTCACACACTCCTTAAAGGCATAGTTGAGCAAAAATTAACATTCTGTCATCATTAATCACCATTATGCACGTTTAAAAATAAAGTTTTTTATTGGCATCATGGTTCCATGAAGAACCTTTAACATCCATGGAACCTTTCCATAGATCAAAAGATTCTTTATAGTGGAAGAAAGTTCTTTAGATTTTTTTTAATGACAACCACTAAAAGAAAAAAAGGTTATTTTAAGAACTGTTCTCTGAAAGGTTCTTTGGAGAACCAAAAATGGTTCATCAATCATAGCATCTCTGTAGTTTCATGAGAGTGTCATTCCAAACTGGTATAATTTTCTGTCTTCTGTGGAAATCCAAAAGAAATATTTTAAGGAATATGTTCGTTGTTCTTCTCTATGAAATTGCATTAAATGAAGCTTTAAAAAAGCCACAAAAGCATTATAAAAGTATTGTAAAAGGAGTCTGTGTATTAGTTTTGGGTCATTATTTACTGAAAATATTCATGAGAGAAAATGTTTGTTTTAGTTTTACTATCTGTTCAATTTGGCAAAAAATGTTGATGCCTGAGTGAAAGGCATAAGCAGATGATCAATCATGAGATATTATAGTATGAATGGAAAAGAAGGCTGGGTCTCGAGCCCGACACGTTGAAAGAGCTGCGAGACATGGTGCAACGGTCAAAGATAATCATCTTGCGTATATATGAATAGAAAAACAATTAAAAAGCTTAATGTAAACAGCGCTGAGGAATCACGTCATCTTCATAAGTCTTTATGATTGGCCCAAAGCAATGGGACTTCTTACGTCAGCGTGTTCTGATGAGTACGTGATCAAACCGGTAATCTTCATTCTGCGTAGTGCGTTCACACAGCACATTACCGGTAAATTACCAGTGATGTTACAACTTCCCTTACTGGTAAATTACCGGAACCAATTTACCGGTATTTTTGAAAAGGTCCTGTTCACACATGATCTCTTACTGGTAATTTACTGGTAAAGACTAAATGTGTGAAAGGGGCTGGTTTGTGAATGTCTGGTTTGTGAACAAATCATTCTTTTGACTCGAATCGTTTTTAATCAAATTGTTTGTTAAGTCTGTTTCTCAACCAAATATGACTTCAGAAGAATGAAAAAACTCATGAATCATATTTATGATTACTTTTGCATCACTTTTGAAGCTTGAAAGCTCCAGTCTACAACTAGGGTTGGGTATCGAGAATCGAGTATCGACTGGAACCGGGACTAACTTTTCGTTTTTCCCGGAATCGTTCAAAAGTTAAAATTTCGATTCCTAGTTTCGATATTCACAGTCCGCCGAGCGGAAGAAGAAACCGCTGAACAACACCAACGAAGAAGCGTCTACCGGAAGTGTTGGCATAACCGCGCGAGTCGAACATGAGTAGCTTACGTCGGCGATCCAAAGTGTGGCTTCACTTTTCTAAAATTAACGAAATCTCGGCAATATGCAAAATTTGTGACAAAAGGAGTATTTGTGACAGACGGAGTATTTCCTTCAGAAAGACCGTTGGTTAGCAAGGTTAGCTAAACTTGTTTTTAAAAGAATCGGAATCGAGAATCGTTGGGAACCTGAATCAAAACAAGGAATCGGAATCGGAATCAAAATCGTTCAAATTCAAACGATACCCAACCCTATCTACAACTGAATTAAAAAAACAGCAACCAGGACATTATTCAAAATTTCTGCTTATAACTGTGCTCCATGAAAAAAAAAAAAATTCAAACAGATTTGAAACAACATGAGAGTGAGTAAATTAGCACCGGACTTTAATTTTTCTTGCTGTCATTCAATATTCATCACACTATTAGGTTTGGTTGTTATGAACAGATTTATTTTATTTATTTTTTTCTCATTTCTCTCTCTCTCTCTCCTTCATTCTCTCTTTGAATCAGCATCACTGTGCTCAACTGGAGCCATGTAGATGGAACATAATGAGTGAAAAACTTTTTCTCTTTTCCCTCCTGAAACACTTTTCTGGCTACCAGCAACAAAAGATGTGTTCCCAGAAGGGCATCTGCCTTCCTGGTAGCAGCGCGTGTGCTCACACACACACAGGCACACACACACAAACGTAACCTTGGTGTGCACACCGAATGATGGAAGGAGAGTGTCTTCTTTCATGGTCTAAGGAGATGAGAGATGAGAGGAATTTCTCTGGGATTACCTACAGTACATCAGGCTTCCCAGAATTCCACACACCAGGAAATGGATTTCTAGGAAGTGGTGATTAGAACAAAGTGGCAGAACGCCAGACAAGTAGGAACACCCATCAGCAGCTCCTCCCCTTCTGATGCATACTCTCTCTCTATCTCTCGCCCTTTTCTCTTCTTCTCTCTGTCAAAGTGCCCGCTAACTCAAGGGCAGTACTAATGCGGCTAATATCCATGTATTATCAATATCATCCTGATAGCATTGTCCCAGCATGCATTGCAGATAATACTTGAATACAGTTAACGCTTGAATGAGAATGTCTGGATGTTACAATCATC